CCACTGGCGGTGGTGCAGCAGCTAGTGAGGTACAGCGTGGGGTTGGGGTGTTCTCCCCTGGTGGAGCACAAACTGGGTTTGCTTTTCTCGCTGGGTTTTTTTCCTCCTGGAGTACAAACCTGGGCAGCTATAGCGCCTTGGCCCCCCCTTTAGCCACGCCAGCACCCTGCGGCGGGGTTGCCCCCCTTGCAGCCCGTCTGCAGACGCTGCCGACACCCCTTGCCTTACAACAGGTTGTAGCCACCCCGCGTTGCACGGTGGGGCCGTGCGTGCTTAGCTGCGGACTGAGGGCAGGCCTGTGCTGGGTGTCTCAGCGAGGAAGTGTCCACGTAAAGACAAAAACATACTCCAGTTGTATTTCTGCCTTTGCTAGTAACAGGCGCTGGGATACACAGGGTGTAAATGGAGGTGTTTCCCTGACCCACCGCGGTGTGACAAGGGGCTGCGTCCCAGGCGCTCTGAGGGTACGTGGGCTTTGCAAACAGACCATTGCCCATGGGACGTCCGGGCCTGGCTTTTGTTTTGGGGTGCCTTGTGGGACCCCTCTCTGCCCCCAAACCCCAGCTCTGTGGCCGAGGGCTGGCCCTTCTCGCCTCCAGCGCGGTGTGGGGTGCTCGGCAGCGCTGTCGGGGCCATGTAGGAGCTCAGCGCAAGTGGCACCTGCACACAAGGTCCTTTTAGCACCTGCTGCAGAGTAATTCTTCATCAGCAAAGACACCTTTAGCAATTCTGCCCAACTTTTCTGACAGTGGAATGGATTACACCTGTGTTCTGGCAGTGCCACGTGCAGTCTGTGCCACTCGCATAAAAAAAATCCTTCTTCATGGTCTAAGCCACTCATCTGGGGTTTTGAGCTCTTCCAACACTGGTGACCAATGCCTTGAACAGGAAGAGGTGATGAAGTCATCTCTGAAGATTTGGAGGTGTCCTCGTTCGTGACCTTTTAGAAAACCAGGCCAGTGCTTTCTGAAAGTGCAACCTCAGACTAAGCCACAAGAAACCAAACGGAGTTAGAGAGACGTGAGGCACCTCAGTACTTCTGGAGCTGTTGAACCGCCAGGGCTGGACTCTCCCAAGCGAAGGGGAGTGCCTATACTGTAGCTGTGAACTCGTGGGGTAGGAGTAAGCACGGCCGGAGCCGCCTCAGCCTGTGGATGAAGGGGAGAGCTCCAGGATG